TTGAAACAAAAAGAAAATGCTGCTGCTTCTTCTGGGGCCAGGTGTGCTATTAGGACTCAAGCCTTCCCTTTCTTCTGCTTTCCTCTGCTTTCTGACCCCACCCTTGGGGCAAAGTGGGACATGGCAGCATGGCCCACAGCCTGGGAAGCTGAGGGCCTGCATGCATAGCCCTCTGCAGGGGGAGTACCATTTGTAGCATTATTCCATGCAGCACGGTGGTGGGGGAGAACTTGAACATGTAGCACTGTGCAGCATTGCAGGAGGAGGGTGTGAACATCTGTATGTGGCACGGTGCAGGGGGCAGCGTGCCAGTGCCCAGGTTCCAGAGGCACTTGGTTCATGCTGCTGCTGCTGCTGTCTGGCTCGTTTGCAGCCCCTATTTGAAAGAAGCCAAACTTGCCTCTTTATTCTTGTATCCGATAACATTCAGTTTAGTATAGAGATTGTCATCTGTCCTTTGCACCAGCAACACACTTGTATGTCTCCATTGACAACAATGGTGGTACTTACAATCTATACTTCTGCAAAGGACCAGAGACTCAGGCTTCACATCTCTTGGGTAAATTGGTGCAACCTTCTGGGTTTGGGAGTTTTCTCAACATTGCAAGCAGCAAAATTTGTCCCCACTGTACTCTCAGATTTTAATCTGAAGCAGATTCTTTTTTTTTGGTCTGCATTTCAAAGCTATTCAAGAGGGATCTCTAAGGGAAATTGTAACCTATTATAATCCTTTGAAGAAAAACTAAAACGTAGCTTTGAATTAAAGGGGGTGTGGGGGGGGGGCGGGGGGTGTTCTTCCATCTCTTACCATTAAATGGACAATTGGTAACACTTGTTCTCTTCCAAACATCCATCTCTGCAATTGAACAAAAAAGTACTGTAACAAATGAAGCTACATCAAATCTGGTCCATGTGTCAGGGACAGATTGGAGAAATGGGTAAAAGTAAATTGGTAAGAAAAGCAGGCATGGGTCACTGAGGGGTGTGTCTGGCCTTATCCCCCTGAGGACCCTGTGGCACCAGTACTACCATTGTAGAGTTTTAATTAGATCATTCTATTTAATTAATTCAAAGTGTAAATTAGGAAGGAATGAAGATAAATTACACTAATACATTTAACCCCATGCTGTTTATTTATCAGTCTAACAAAATAATGTTGTTAAAAGAGGCTAACAAGGCAAAAGCCCAAGACACAGATGTTTAATAGTATTAAGAATGAGATTTCAGCCTCTGCTGCGGGCATATATGTCTTGTCTGCACTCAGAACATGTGCTAGAATAGTTCTAAATTCTGCTGGTATAGATTCAGTTTATACCAGTAAAAATGTTTAGCTTACTCCACCTTCCAGACTAAAGTAACTTTTACCATCAGAAGGATTTTTTTGCTGTCATAAGTGCCAGGGATGGATATTTTGTCAACACTAGCAAAATTTTTATGTATAGGTGAAGTCCTAATGCAAAGGTTGCTACATACTGTAGTGACCGTAGGCTCAATACCGCATCTAAAGATTTAACACGGTACTGCTGTCAGCAATTTAACTAAAACTGTGAAGGTAAACCAATTTAAAATGGTGTGACTTCTGTGTATAAACTAGCTTTGAACTGAGGATAAGCAAAGACAATACTGCCGAACCCAAATCCTGAGACTAAAATATAATTAATTTTGGTTTTAAAAATTATCTTCTGATTTTTGAGCCTAATGTACAATGGGTCTCACACTTCCATGCTTTCCTTTACTATTTTTTTCCAACAAAAATTGAGTTTCACATTCACAGGATTCCAGAAGCTAAAGCAATATCTTGAGATATGTGATAAAATTATGATATTTAGTAATATTCCTTCAAAGTTCCCAGTTACCTAGAAACTAGTCCAGTAAACATGGTTAAGCCACCTTTCCAGTACTCTCATGATCAGAATACATATAGATCCATTCACAAACTGACCTCCCTGGAAACATGTTTAAAATGTGGTTCCTTAATTTGTTTGCTTAGCCAGAATAAACTGGGCAAAAGGCCACATTATTAACCGGCTCAGAAATATGTAAATTATTAAATGCTGCCTCAGTTATTAAATGCTGCCTCCATGCTGGTCAGGCTCATTACTTGTTACTTTATATCTGTTTTTAAACTCTGTTTAAAACAAGTTTTACTAATATGGTTTTAACCCCCATGTAGAGAGGCAGGAACTATCGTGTTTTGTTTGAGGCCTGAGTAGCACAGTATCCGAGATGTTCAAATACTGCTGCTGTGCATTGTTAGAAGCAAGATTTGTATGACACTATTTTTTTATTTGACCAATAGCTGGGATAGATGTTATACAAGCTTTTGGGCACAAAATGCCCTTCCTCTTGGTGCTGTAAGCACTCTTTGTTAGCTTAGAAACGTCCTTTGTTTTATGGAGGCAAGAAGTAACAGCACCTCACCTATTTTTCCATGTTATGAAATGGGACAGTAACACTTCTCTAGTCACGTTGTGAAGTATTCAAGCTGATGTAAGAGGTGAATAAAATACATATATTGCAAAGAACACACAAGGTCAGTTAAATAAAATGTGCTGATGTGTTGTATCAAGTATTATGTATATACCAGTATAGACACCAACTGGTTTCATACAAGACCCAGATCTGGTATTTGAAAAACAGTGCTGTTTTATATGCATGGCAACAACTCCCTAGTTTGTTTTGTTCAATTACATGAATCTGCTGGGATGGGACAAGAGGGTGGGGAACTACAGTAAATGATGGTTCATTTTCTTAGTTGTGTGAAATTATATGGAGCAACATTTCTTACAAGTAATTCTTGAGGAAAATTCATAAAGGAATTTGTTCCAGTGGTATTGAGATCATGGTTAAATCTGTGCAGATTTTGTTGGATTGCATGAAGGAGCAGGAGGATGAAAAACTAATGGGAACAGTATTAAGACGGAAAATAATTCATACTCATCACTCACTTTCCAAAGATTTGTACGTTACCTAGTTCCATGTGCCAGCAAGGTTACAAATCTAAGGTCCAATCCAAAACTCACTGAAGCTGATGGGAGACTTTCTTTTGACTTCAGTAGGTATTAGATCAGGCCCTTAGTTTCTGTGCTCAAGACTCTTTTCAAGAGGCTGCTAATCCCCCATGAGTTTCACACACCTGAACAAGGTTTAAACCTGTTTTATTAGGTACAGATGTGCAATATCTTAAAATCTCTCCATCTGGGGTGCTTAATTTCATAATCCAATGATCTTGTAAAAAAACCTAGGTAACAAATTACTCTTTCATCTGCTTACCATTGCACCATTTTCTAAGTTCTTATGCATGCCCGTAGGCTTCTTAGCACGTTGGATGTGCTTCTGCTGTGCGCTGACTGTGCACACATCTGCATTCTTTGGGGTGTTTTGAATCCAGAAACATTCATAAAAATAAACCAAGTATTAGTGAATCAGCTATTGAACTGTTTATATCATAACAACTTCAGATGGCATTTTTTCCCATTGCGAGGAAAGAATGAATATCCCAAACTGCTGTGTAGAATTATGAGCTTCCTGCAAAGGAGCTTAAAATCATATCCCCAGATTTCACATGGGTTTGTCTGAACTTCTGTCTTACTTAGCCCAGTCTAAAGGCTTGGTTAATATGTAATAAAATAAATGCGCCTTACTCTTTTCTTTCTGCAACTATTTTAGATTTGTTTTTATCGCCATTATTTAGGTTTGGAAGAGTGTACGGTGCTATTGAATGTCTCTAGTAAAACTAACAAAAGGACGTCCTTTTTCACACAGCCTGCAGGTAAGCTGTGGAGCTCATGGCCACACCACGTTGTGGAAGCTGACAGTTTAAGTAGATTCAAAAAGGGATTGGACAAATTTTGGGAGGAAAAGGGCACAAGCCAGTAGCTGTTGAGCATTGGAGTTGGGGATACAGCCTCTGAATGAGAACCTGGAAGATCAGAAATGCTGGAGGCTGTGAGTGTTAGAGGAACAGAAGGAAAAACACCCTGGTCATCATCACTCTGCCCCTCAGCATCCCCTCTCTGCAGCTGGGTGACACAGGAGCCTAGGGTCTGAGGCAGATATAATCAGAGAAAAGGAGGGCTGGAAGGGACCTTAGGAGGTCATCTGTTTAGTCCACCCCCAGTTCTTATGTCTTAAAACGTAGTGAGCTGCTTAGTGTGGTTATACATATTATTGTGTGTCTGCATTTCTATAACGTGTCTCCCTGCTAACTTCTTTTTTCCCTCATCGCTGGGGAAGGACTGGAGCCGGGCCGAGGTCTAAGGGGCTGCATTGCTACCCGCCCGCCCCGGTGCAAGCGGGCCTCGCCGGGGGAAGCGCCGCGGATGTCGGCACGGAGCGAGGCCGGCCCGGGCCGCTTTGGACCAGGCACTGCCAGCCGGCGGCGGGGGAGAGGCCTCGCTCCGGGAAACCGCCCGCCTGCAGGGGCTCCGGGGCAGCGGCGGCGCTCAGCCCCCGCGTGGGAAGCCCCGTCCCACAGGGGCTGTGAGCCGGGCTCGCCCCGTCCAAGCC